AATAAAAACCTCGAGTTCTGGGCCTTTCTTCGCATAAATACATGTGTTATGTGAATTGTCCTAGTGATCAAGTCACATCACGAATGCTTCACGGCAAATAAGCGGCCTTGCTTTTAACCAAAGGTGCCCTTACGCAGTTAAGAATGTTTTGTAAGAATTATAAACGCTAGCACGAAAAGTTGTGTTCAATCGTTTACATTTCTTTTAAAATATATTTAAGTTTATATAGAAAGATAAACAGTGAATGAATTGTTTGGCTTATCCTTATAGTGCTTTATAAAAAACATAAATAAATAAATATATAAGTAAATAAATAAATAAATAGATAAATCAATAATAACATAAATTGAAAAAATAATGAAATAAATAAAATAACTGGAAGAGGAAATAATGGAAAAGGGAGAGTCTCGGTTCGAAAAAGGATTGGAATCGACTTATGACGTCATTAACTCTGCCCAGTACCCACACAGTGATTCATACACAACAAAATGGTGTCTTGATTGTCTTGACATCGTCTCGCGCTCTTAAAATTGGCACGACAATCTTTCGATTTACCGTGGCTTGCGGTTTTTTGTCTAAATTCTGGTAATTTTAGCATGATTTCAATGGAAGGCTACAGAGGCAGACAGATATTCTGCCTATTCCTGACGTGGCTTAGCTACGCGTCGACTTATTTGCTTCGGAAACCCCTGGGAGTGGTAAGTTTGCGCTGATCTACCTGATTTTGTTTCGTTCTCAAAGAATATTCAATTTGCGAGAAAATAGAAAAGAAAAATCTTCAAGGAACTTTGCATTCCTGGAGACCTAATTATTCGGTTTGATATCAAGATAAAATTGGAGAATTGGAGAACATGCATGCGGGCGAATGTTCTCTTGCCCCTATGATTTTTCTGATCTTGTTAACTTTCTTTCGTTCTGATCTACTCGTGTTTACTTTCCAGCGCCCTTTTCCTCTTCTACCCCAAAATACGAGAACTCACAGATTGATTGAACTCTAATAGAGACTTTTGTTCCCCTGTTGAAGTAATGTGTACAATGTAGTACATTGTTGTAATTGCATAATTTACGAGCCTTTCTGTAACTGTGACAACTGTTTATAGTTGGAAAAATTTGTGGACCGACGTGTTTCTGGTAAGATTTCCAAACAGCCGTGCCTACAGTTTCTTCCATGCTATTCTGTGCTTGTAGGCAACAATCATTAGAGTTGGAAAATCATACATATCATAAAACTTGAGGATATATAGAAATCTTGCCCATATTTTATCCGCCAGATGGTGTTGATACAGAGTTGACAGTTAATACAAACTACTTATTATATGGCTGTGTCTCACAAGGACTGGGAACTATGGAATTCACGAATTTGATTGGCTGAAATCGATATTGACCACGGTCTAGATTTTCCCATCTAGACCAGCATCTAGACCGGTTTCATGTTGCATTGAGATTGTAGCAAACTAAAATGCAAAAATGTTCACCGTTTTCTTTTATTTTCTTCTCAATCATTTATGGAAGTGCCAAAAAGCCTGATGACAAAAAAAGAAGTAAAGAGGAAGAGCAAATTTTGGCAGATTTAAGTTAAGCTCATCTCTGTTTGCAAGCAAACCAGTTACATTAAACGAATAAAAGTTTTCTTCTTTGCCATATAATAAACATCTTATTAACCGACCTAAGTCGGTCTGTATGGGAGAAGCTTGACCTCGGTTGTGTGTACAGACCTCACTGCATTTGGTCTGTACTCACGACCTCGGTCAAGAGTCTCCCATGCAGACCTCCTGCTCAGTTAATAAGAGCTAAATATTAACCAAGAGTAAGGTATTTACAGGAAAATCTCAAACCGGGACCTTGTGGTATTGACCGAACAACAGCTAGGCCGATGTTCAAGAATTTTCACATAAAGACCAAATGTTCAAGGTTAATAAGTAGTTTATTATATGGCTTATAGAGTGCTTTTTTATAACCTTTTGCTTTGTTTTTGCAAGGCTGTTATCGGCCCATGGGCATTACAGGAGAAAAATGTCCCAGAACTACCCAATCAGAGCATGCGGTATATCGGCTAGAAACACGAGCCATGTAATTTAATAGTCTTTCACAAAGCCTCTCTCTTTAGTGAGATGGTGATACATCCTTAAAAGTACAGAAAGCCAATAATATTGATATCAGTTCTATCCTAGTTGTTATTTGTACCTCATAATATTATTACACTTATGATTCATATATTTTCGTGAACTCCATGTAAGGCAAATTATATTGATGGGAACCTGGAGAACACCATCAGGGACTAAATATTGCATTTTGCACTGAAAACAATCGTTTGTCCTAGAAATCACAAAGTTGTCGTGCGGCTAAGACTCATCTCATTTGAAATTTCATTTGAAATTTCATTCAATGCATAAAGCAAACCCTTGTAATTTTATGCCAAAGACTATGATTCCTTGGCTGATTTATTGAATTCTGAACTCTTTTGAAACCCATCTACAAGGTACTACAACATACCCATCTATTATTATTGTACTGGGCTTAACCATAGTGAACACAGCAGTGGCAATGTCAGAATAAGGCCAGTATAAGAATACCTGTTTCTGTTTGTAGAAAAACAAAGATGGCCGTTCTAAAATTGGGATGAAGTCTTTAAATGCATGATTCACCTTTACAAGCAGCAATTTGATTGATTGTGTTTAGTAGCCCCAATCTGATTAGTGTGATATACATACATCTCTCACTCACTCATCCATTGACCCGCTCATAGCAGAGTCCAGACCCGTTGACTTAGAGGTATTTTTTTTTTACAAAAAGAATAACTCAGAAATTATTCTGTATTTTTAGGTCAAGGCTGATCTGGCCAATATTTACCAATTATCAAGAACAGAGCTGGGTTTTCTGGATACAGCTCTTCTATTACCTTATGCTTTCATGCAGGTATTTCAGAAATATAATGGTTGTAACTGACAATTATGTCTCCCAGATAGCATGTGCTGTAATTAATCAATTTTTTGAGCCATATTCTACACACAGCCCGCATGGGAGGACTTCTTTACAAAAAGGACAGGGGTGCCTGTTGTACATACCTTTTAGGGGTTAAAAAAGTGGTTTTGGTACTTTTGGGGTGTTCAGCCTTAAAAGGTCCATAGTGGGAGCTTTTATGGTACCTTTGGTACCACACCCACTTGGTACCTCTTGGGGTTTTTTCCGAAATTGCTGACAAGCACTCCAGTCTTTTTTATATGGGACACAGCCTGGGGCACAGCCTTCTTTGCACTTGAATTTCAGTGCAGCCTTCTTTTTAACTGTGTGTACAAAAGTTGCATCACTTCCCTCACTTAAAAAGCCCTCTTACAATTTTCTAGGGTGTCACTTCTGGTTGAAATCATTAATCATAGGGCAAAGGACATATGTCCATCCCAAATGATTAACCATTTTGGTAATGTGATTAAAACAATCAAAACATTATTCAATCAATCAATCAATCGATTTATCAATCAATCAATCATTTACTGTTTATAAAATGATTAATGAGTTTGTTCGTCTCTTAGATTGCTTTAGCATCTTTTGGTGACAAATATGGACCTCGAAGAGCATTGGCTGCTTGTCTGTTAGGCTCAGCCTTATCAATGGTAAGAGCTGTACTGACCTTGCGGGCATCAACTGATTTTAAGAATCCAGGGCTTCCATGTGATTCAGGGATGTAACTAAGAGACAGCTACCAGCTGATTTCTCCAACCTAGGCTGGGCTGTTCGGAAGCTAGTTAACGTTAACCCAAGATTAAAAGTTGTCTGAAGTAAAAAATTTTCTTATATACAAATGTTTTTCACTGCTTTTGTTTTGTGTAGTTTGAGATTTTTTAACTCAAAACAGAAGGCCAAACAATATTTAAAGAGAAAACCTGACCACAAAGTTACAAAACTTATATCAAAATTCTCTCCTATCCTGGGTTAGCTTAGTCAGGCTTTGAACAACCCAGCTCTGAAGTTTCACTGCAAAACAGACTTGGCAGGGGTAATTTGTAAGGCACACAAGCCAGGAAAGCTGGCTGAGCTTGTTAATGAGCCAGCTTTGTATATTCTTTGTGACATCCTTGGTGATTTGTAGTAAATGCTATGGGTACTGTACATTTATGTATTTGAGATTGGAAGAGATGATGGCTGTTAACTAAAACATTTAAGATTGTACACTGTCGGGTGTTAAGAACGTAATTCATCAGAATCAACCATGACTTAACGTTATGTTGCTTTTAGATTTCGTTTGGTTACTGGAAGAGCATATTCATATTTGCCATACTCCTTTTTTTGAATGGAACAGCACAGGTTGGTAACAGTTTGAAAATTTTCGCACCAGATTAACTTTGTAGCAAACTCATGTTGTCATAATTGATACAAACAGCAAATGGACAGGACTCTGCAACATTTATAGGTTGGGATCTTGAGGGACCAATGGTTAGCGCATTGTACCAATTCTTTTATAACATAGTGGCAACAACTGCAGCTTATGTTGGGATAAATTTGGTCTAGCAACAGGGACTTGCAGCTAAACGCAGCTAAAATGCAGCTGGGCACATCATGTTATATATGCATAAAGAGTCGTATACCAATGTGATTCATAGGAATTACCTAGGACCAGCACATCATTACAACACTTTCTCTGCCTTGTTCCCAGTCACCCATGCGATAACTAGTGAAAAATATAATGATTGACTCTCCTTCCCATTGCTCCCTGCACTTGCAGTCCTCACTCGCTACCAGCTCCCGCTCGCATCCTTTTGCTCACTCCCAGTCTCCCAATCACCCTTTGCACTAAGAAAAATATAAGAAAAGCCTGTGGAGGAGGCAGACACTTTCTAGTTGTTTTATCCTATGGAAACCTGTAAGGCACCTGGACTTTTCAAAAGACCTTCACATGTAACCTTACTTTTATATGCAACTGTTAAATGTATTTCAAATTGTTGGATCCAGTCCACAGCTTGGCCAAACTGTGTGAAGTCACTGACCAACTGGTTTTCTGACCAACAAAGGACAACTGTATTTGGTTTGTTTGGCACCAGTAGCTTTGCAGGAGGAATCTTGGGGACAGCAATGGCTGTAAGTATTATTTAGAGTGTACAGTAGTGTAAAAATATTATCCCATGCCATAAAGAATACAGCCAACATTTAAAGACTTGAATGCTGATTCCATGCATACTTGGTGGAGGGGGACATGGGGGGACATATACATTTAGCCCCATGATTTGAACTTCTACATTTGACATACATGTAACATTTCCAGGAAGTCGCACATCTTGACAGATATGAGTATTTTCACAGAAATGGACTACATGTACAGTACATAGTTAGGTTTCTTTGATCTTTGGTCTGAGAAAGGTCAAATAAGAAACCACAGCACCGCAAATAATTTCATTTCACCAAGCACTGCAGGGTGATAAACACAGGGTTGCACACCATAAGGTTTGAGATCACCGCAACACCGTAAGGTGTGGTTTTATTTAACCGCAGTAGAAAAACAAAAAACACCACAACACCTTGAAGCCCCATGTCCCCCTCTTGGTGATGTTACAAATAATGAACAAACAAAATGTTAAATGATTATAATCTGGAAATTTTGGAAGTGTTTTAGAAGTAGTGCTTTGCAGCCTAATTTAAAGTTTAGGCTTGCATGTAGAAGGTTCAGCCCTGTACTAAGAATGTCTCAGAAAAGTTACTACTTAAAGTTTGGCACAGTGAGAAAGTAAGGCAAGGAGTCCAAAAACAGTAGAAGAGAACTGCAAACACTAAGCTGAAGGAGTTGGAGTAACACAGGGGCAGATCCAGGATTTTTTCTTAGGAGGGGTGCATCACTAAGGAATGGTGTAACTGACTGGTGAGGAAAACAAATTTTAAAAGCAAATACAAAGAAGAAGGCTTCATCTCAGGGGTAGGGGTTGCACACCTCCCGCACCCTCCCCTTAGATCCACCACTGTAACATGGGGTGAAGCTCAAGGGATTGGGAAAGATAGCATGTAAGAAGTATAGGTTACAGGTAGATACTGACAGTCTTCTGCCTCACTGGAAGCCAAGAGAATATAGTGAGCGTGTGGGCCAGATGAAGTTAGTACGCAGTGATGAAATTGAAAATCTAAAAGCCATTTACAATGCGGGGTATTTTTTCTAGTCTATGCATTGGGTGATTTACTGGTCAGAGTTTTGGAATTCTGCTTTCACGGGACTGTAAATAAAGGTTTAGAGAATATGATGAATTAGACAAGCATCAATTTCCCTTTGCTGCTTTGTATCTCTACAGGTTCAGTTGCAAGCTATGTATACTCCAGATATGAAGATGATCTTTATGATTCCCTCTTTAATTGTGGTATGTATTATATCCAACTAAGCTCTAATTTTGTCTGTTAATTGTTGCAGTACCCTTTCATCTCCTTGATGTAAGCTCCCCCAGTTACATACCCTTCATACCAACTTATCACATTTAAAAGGGTCGGAATCTGAGCGCTCAATTTTCCATTTGCAGGGTGGTGTTGGTGTCTTAGTGTATTTGTTTCTTAACTCTCCCTCAGAACTTGCAGGGAGTTCAGAATCTACTGCAGGTAATGTCTTAAATTTTAAATTTAAATGATAGTTAATAGCTATAAGCTCTGCTGCTGGCCATTGGGAACTGTCTAACTAGTGTACACTTGGTTCTCGTCTAAATAGAAGGTTCTTAGAGCATGGATAAATTTGGTTAAATTCAAAACTAATTACCAGTAAACAAAGCCATCAGAAAATTAGTTCTGTCCAACATTTTGAATTGACAACATGATATATTATAATTTCAAGTTGTTTATAAGAGCATATATGTGTCTCACGAAGAGCTGCATATGGTCAACCTGGATGTTCTTTCTAGGGGACTTTGCAATGTTGCAGCACAGTGTTCTAATATTGATTGACAGTTTTTCCATGTAAAAAATAACTTACACCACTTTGGTGTCAAAGAGGGATAAAACAAATGGCAAATAGGCAAGAAATTAGTGACAGATTGAGTTCAAATCAACAATCTGGGAATGTTGCTTCAAATTTGAAAATAAAAGCTACTCGTAACACTGGATTTAGTTCAACCTATATGATAATAATTATTGCAGCCATGAAAGATTTGATTTCTTTTTATAATAGAAGTAGCTGACACCTCTGCTAAAACAGCAACAACAACTACAGCCAAACAGAATCAGCTAACCTACCAACAACTTTGGAGTTTAAAGTAAACAATTGTTTTTTATCTACATGTATATATAAAAAGCTGATTTAAAAGCAGTATTTTACCCACCACGCGACTCTGTTTTTATTTGATGTATTAATTAAAATGTGAAAATTAGGGTGGATCTAGTGGGGTTTGGGGTGTTCAGTCAAACCCCAGAAATTAAAAAAAGATGAGCTTTATAACACGCTGACTTGGCCTCAGAATGCTGGAAATCCCATTTCCGAGGACCTCAATCTCCAAAATTTTCTGGGGGAGGATGTTGCCAGCCCCCCTACAGGGGACTTTGGTGGTCTGTATTTCGAATCCCCTTCTCTAAAATCCTGTATGTTCCCCAGAAAAGTGCTAATAAAGCTTAGAAATACAAGTGCTATGTTTTAGCACTCGGCCTTTTGATGTTCAACAATCTTTGGGTGGTCTACACCTTGAACTTTTCCTATGATTGTTTACATTGCGTTTATGATAAGGACCTTTATAATCTCGCCCTTATCAGTATTATTAGCTTCACTGCTGGAATAGTCACGAATTGATGCCGCACTATTGATAAACATTCTCACCACCCTATTCTGGCCATTTAGACTCTTTTTAGTCCTTAGGGACTGTCATTAACCTATTTAAGTCTTGTTTTCCAATTTTATTCCCTCTTTTCGCGGAGTTTTGCCAGAACTGTCGGCAAAAAGCTTTTTCCACGTTCCTTCGTTGCTTGTATTCACAACTCATTGCCCGGGCAAATTGTTTTCCCCATAACTTATCTGTAGCTTGGCATTGAGTGGCTATTGTGGCAGTAAAGATACATGTATTACTATTTTTATTACATTTAGAATGGTTCCCGAGCTCTGCTGGGCAAGCTGCTGTGTGAAGTTAGTCCGATACTGTATGTACATGTGGCTGCCTATGTACCTTTACCAAGCGGTGAGCAAAAGACTTCTTCAGCAGAAAGCTCGTTAATGTGAATTTTATATCAAACATGGGAGACAGTGTTTGACCGCACTTCTACCCATGTAGAAGAAAGTTTGACGGCATTTGAGGTGTTTGGAAATGTAATGAAATAAAACACTCAAAACACTCAAAATTTTGAGACTAACAATAAAGACGGACCTCAAACAGACCGACTTACTTTAATTTGACTAACAATAGACAGGTCGAGACTTACCAGAACTGACCAATGACTGCTGACAAACGTTACTTGAGTCTTACAGCCAATACCATCATGACTAACCTGACCAATCACTTTCAACGGACCAGACTTATGACACAATCGAGTGACAACCACTATTCACTTGACTCTGAAGGTGACTTCCGCTCAGGCTGTCGAAACGTCCGTCACCAACAACAGTTCTTCAAGTTTTCGGAACTACCTTCACCCGGACGACCACACTATACGAACTACTGAATACTCCTGGGTTCAAACCAGTTACTATGTAGGGTTCAGTGTCTTCTCAATCAAACTAAACGGAGGGATACAATTTTACAAAACTTGCGCAAAATTAAAACTGTCACAGTAGTGATTTACAGTATTGAATGAATTAGTATTAAGTTTTGTAAGGATAGCTGATTGTTTATTAAAAACAACTTTATTTTTCAAACTCTGTTGGTATGGAGAGACTACAAATTAGTAACTAATAAATTCCTATGTTTCGATTTGCAGCTTAACTATACTAAGGTCCAGGCAGGTTATTTGTCAACGGTATTTGAAATTGGAGGAGTCCTGGGGACAGCCATGTTAGGCGTCTTTGTGAAAAGGTATTAAGAATTGAACCAAACAAACTCTGGGCCAGTAAGGCCCTGACAACACTGCGCCAGAGAAATTTGACAACACAGCTTTATTTCAAACGGTTAGGCCTACCGTCCACAAAACGGAGCTTTTCGAAAACGCTCTTCAAACTGGAGGAATTTGAAAACGCCGGCTTTGCTTTTTGGTGTGGACGGAGAACATTTTGAGAACGGAACTTTCTGAAAACGATGACGTCACGATAATCATGTGATTTTCGTGCCCAGGTTTTCCTCCAAAATGACCGGTGATTGTTGCGTTTTCAATTTTTTCCGGCGTGGTGTGGACGAAAAACATTTGATGCGTTTTCAGAGTGAAATCGCCGTTTTCAAATTTCTCGGGCGTAGTGAGCATAACCACTTCTCTTCCCTGACCAGAAACTTCGTTCTTCTTATTCTTAACTTATTTCTCTTTCAGATTCCTCCAAGGCCGAGCCATATATGGTGTTACCCTGGCTCTATTTGGCAGTACTCTATTCATGGCTTTGTTTCAATACACGGGTCACATGGGACTCACGGTCAATGCGCTCTTCATGTTCATGGCTGGAGCGTGTAACTGTGGCGTTGATCCGTACTTGACTGGATCAATCCCTGCCGAGATTGGAGAGCGAGAGAATGCACAGGCAGCTGCTTCAGGACTTGTGAACGGTCAGTAAGCTCTCCCCCCTGCAGGGGGCACCCTTTATATGGCATAGACGGGGGGTGTTCGTCGTAGCTGCTAGTGGTTGACATGAATTCGTGCTTTGGGCCACTTGGGATGTTCGGTTTTGTTTTAGCATGCGTAGCAGCTGCTCGAGTAATCGCGAGGCGGAGTGGGGCGACACGCGCGGCAAAGTGGAGCGAGCTCTTTCCTTTTCTCGCTCTTGTGCGCCGTTCGAACTCGCTTCCTCAGTATTACTCGAGGCGGCTAGTTTTGTTTCCATTTTGTACAGCTGCAGTGGGTGAAAACATTATGGTACCTCTACACCATACGAGACTTGAACTGCTTATCAGCCACAGATATAACCTGCGACTATACCCTTCCCCTGTATCAGTTCAATATTCAGCATATTTTTCTCGAGCAGGTCAGCATTGACACAGACACCATTAATATATAACATCTATGAGTTGGTCAGTCAGACCGAATTGAATTTTCGATACATTATGCTAACAAGGAGGTCAAAGAACACTCGAGCAAAAACGTTCCTATAAAAGATATGGCTGCTGCTAACGCTCTTGTATTTCTGTGTTTGTTAGGTTTTGGCGGATTAGGTCCCATAATTGAAGGTCCCATCGTAGGGTGGATCGCGGACGCGTACGGCTGGACAGGGCCCTTTTACCTGATGGTGGGTATGTCACTTCTAGGATCCGTCACTATGCTGAGAGCGTCCAGGATCGACCAGTCCATAAAACAGGCACAGTTCATGGGGACAATAACATCAGAAACTGCGTGATACTGTTTTGAAGCGGGAACAAGACGAACAATAGTGTACTGTTTGAAGCTTGATCATTTTAAAAGAGAGGCATTCTCAGACTGAAATACGAAGGGTTTCAAAATGCCTGTTAAGCGAAATTCCGTGCTTATAGAGTTGAGCTAGAAACGAGTATCAGTCAGTAAAGATACGTCCATGGACAACAGGCAGATTTGAATCGGCTGTGGTCGTTTGTTGCCCTGGTTACTGCAGTTCTTCCCGCGCTTTTTCTGGTCACAGAAAAAGCCTTCCAGATTCCTCCACAAAAGCGCGCTAAAAAGAGCTCTGGTACTCAGGCTACTAAAGGTTTCGTCGGCGCGCTTTCGTGGACTGGTTGCCCGGTGGGGTACTCCCAGAAGCAATATGGGTATGTGCCGCTGTGAAGGGTATGGTTTTCAGGCAGTTTAGTCTGGGATGGGTATAGAAATCAGACAGTTTTGGTCTAGAATAAGGTATTATTTACCGGAAAAGTGGCCAGTGTATAAATAATTTGGTCTAAAATGTAGTTCGTTACCCGGGGTTCTATAATAGAAATTGAAATTCGGAAGTGACTATGTAAAATATTCGTTTAGTTAACATATGTTGGACTACGATAATGATAAGGTTTTTTGCATGGCAAATAGCCAGTCTGGGATAGTGTATGGTTTTTTTCGTGCCTAGTCTAGATTATTTGTAAAATCAAGTTGATCATGGTCTAGTATAGGGTAAGGGTTTCGGTGTCCCAGCGGTACACCCCCACCCAAAGATTTACAGAGTACCTCCCGCGACTGGTTGGCCAAGCGAGGACCAGACTCGAAAAAGGGCGCGAAAAAGCCTCTGACATCCGGGAGAGGAATTATTTACCTTGGTCGTAGTGAAGTGCCCTCTTGTGTCAACGAGTCTAAAATAGTGAAGAATATGAAAGCAGGAACCGGCACAACGTAGGATGATTTTGTGAAGGTGTACTTATTTTCTGAAATAGCGCGTTTTTGTTGCCGTGCTTTAGCGTGGTAAAGTTTACGAGCGAAAGATGGTATTCACTAATTAATAGAAGGATACTTCTAAATTATTTGCGAATTCTGAAGGCAAAACGTTTTGCACATTTTGATTAAGACCAGATTAGCAATAAACAGTGGTTAAAACGTTCGTGCATTGTAACAAAATGGTATTGTTTTAGATTTTTTCAGAAGGTACTACGTTAAGACACGACGATTTATATATTTCGGCGTCTGTCTCTGTTTGCTCAAATGATGAACAAGTTTTACGGCACTCATTTGAAAACCGCTCTATCGGAATTCGTTTATGTTAACTCATATTCAATGATAATTAGTATTTATTCTGTGTATATTGTACCCACCATTTGACCAAACAGGACTTGGTCTATATTATAGTTAGGCTTTATTTTCGCCACTCACTCGAGTCCAGTCTACATTCCTCTCCGAGAGAGAGAGAGCTCAGAAGGGAGAGGAGCACGGGCACCTTTCTCAAACAGAGGTTGGTGATCGAACCTATATTTAGGCAATCGAGCACTTTTTTTCCGTATTTACATTGTCTCATCTAAACACGAGGCAGTTATATGCCTCTCGGGTTTGCATAACTTTCGAGAATAATCTCAACCTACGGGGTGTTTAGACGAGACTGTGTAAACACGGAAACAGTACTCTCTATTGCTTTATGAAATATTTCTCAAAAATACGCACGAATCTAAAACATCACAACCGTCTTTACATACTCTCATCAAAACAGACCAATCGACCAACGAGGGCGCGCGTGTGTAGTGTGTAGCCGACAGTTAGTCAATACTCAGGCAGGGTGTGAAAATTACTTTTATCATCCTTAAGGCCTTTATATTTTTTATGATTTTGCGTTAACTGCGTAAGCATGCTTAATGAATACCGTGCTGTCTAAACGTTCTTTCGCTCTATTTATCACAGATTTTGCATGCAAAACTGGGAGGCTCCACAGCAAGTTAAACAATTTTAGTCCACGCTTCTACATAACCTCCATTGCGTGCGTTCGTAATAGCAGTTTCATATTGTAGCTTGGCGGGTTTGTTGTTAATGAGGAAAAAAATGAACAAAAGCTTTGAGGAGCAGCATGGCGACCATTCTCGGCCCCAGTGCTACTCTTTATAATATGTTGTTACGAGAAGCTCGATTCCTCAGTTCGCTGACCACGTGACCAAAAGCAACTGGAGTCTCTGGGAACGAGAAGGCCTCGTTATTTGCACACTGAAAATTTTGCGACAAATTTTCTCCTCACGCAAGTAAAAATTGACGAGAAATTCTCAGTCCTCCTTGTTTCTTTTTTATGTATTATGAATTTATAACGTTAGCGTAAATTTGAATGTCGCAAGAAGTGACCTAACACATAACTGCATCGCTCCTTTTAGGCTCTTAAGAATTGACAAGAGACCATTTTACAGTTGTCTGCTCAGTGACCTGGCCTTTCGATGGCAGCGAGGCTGGAGTTGACCTTGTTTTGATACAGACCTCATTGCTTTTGTCATGTAAATGCACCTAGTTAGCATCAGAACAACTTGT